CTGTTATGTTACCAATGCGGCCGCCTCGGCCACTGTATCAACGTTTGCCCGAATTCTACTAACCGCATCTGCCGGGGCAGCGGCCTCCACAACCCCGACCGACAACACCAGTGCTCACCCAAGAGTAACCTGTGTGGTGGCGCCCATATGACCGCCGACAAAGACTGCAGAGGAAGGTACAAGACTCCGTAAGTGATACGCAGACGCCGATGGGAGCACCGATCAGCTAATAACCAATGGACGCAGCAAGACTACCTGCTCACCGAGATGGCTGCATCGAAATCAAGGTTGCAATTGCGTAGCCAGTCCCCGTCTCGCAGCAAGACAAGGCTCACACGATCACCGAGAGGTTCCAGGTCCACGATGCCAGCTCCAGTAGACAAGGTGAGCTGGGCGGACAAAGTCCGGGGCACCGCACGGGAGGGGATCGGTAAAGCACCTACAGCTCCAGAGCAAACAAATTTGATCAATAGTTCCATTATAGATGAACTAAGAAAAGAGAATGCGGTAATGCACGAGCTAGTCCAAAGCTAACCCAAGAGGTGCAAGAACTCAGACGCGAGCGTGCCGTGTTGGCACAAAACAAGCATACCGAAAACCACCCGGTGGCGGCGAACGTTCCAGACGTGGGCGCTTCAGACTCAGATTCAGACGCAGGTGCTCCAGCTTCGAAAAAACGGGCGATTCAACCAGAAGTACACGAAGAAGGTTCCGAGAGCCAGTTACGAGCTGAAATTACGGAATCAAGAAAATGCTGTGCACCATGCAAAGCTTCTTTGAGACGCTACACGCAACTGTCCTCGGACTCTCGAATAGGACCACTAAACTCGAGGGAAGCATGCATATGACAATGAATCACCCCGTGTTCACGCAACACGGACACGTAACGGCGCACAGCGACGCGGGACCAAGCACCCTTCCAGGGCAGCCGGGTAACTTAAGCCCGCATCATGGCTAACGCTGCTGAAGGCATGGTAATATGGCAGTGGAATTGTTGTGGCTTCACCGGAAAAAAGGCAGTTCTACAGCAACACATTAGGCACTCAACACGAAAACCAGACATTATATTACTTCAAGAAATGCTTACAAACGCGGCTACCTTAACAGGCTACAATGCGCACAGCAGCAAAATCGAGGGAAGGGGTTTATGCACGCTCGTAGGGAAGCGTCTCACGTTCGTTCACCATGAACTAAGCGGCGTCCATATGAAACATGCTCTCATCGAACTAGTCCCCACTAAACGAAGGAAAGAAAGCATATTTCTATTGAACGTTTATAGTAGCTCATCGAAGCAGCGTCAACGATTCAGGGCGTTGCTTCAAAAGACGCTCAAGATTGCTGGGTGTAGGACGCTTGTTGTAGAGGGTGATTTCAATGCGACAGACACGGGGTGGGGTTACGGATACAGCACGGTCGAGGGAAGACAACTAGGCCAAGACGCGTAAGAGCTCGACTTTACTTTAATAACGGATTCGGAGCACCCGACAAGAATAGACAACTCCGCCACCAGGGACACGACTCTGGACTTGACCTTCGGAAGAAATGCCGGGGCGGCAGCCACCACATGGAAAAACACATCTGCCGAACTAAGTAGTGACTACATGATTATCGAAATTCACGTTCTAACGTCGGACAAAGCGCAGAACAGTAAACGCAGATTTGAATGGACTGATTGGGACGATTTCAGAAAGAAATGAGGGCAACAAGAATCTACAGAAGATAAAATCACAGACATTGTAGCGTGGTCCCGCTCACTGGCAGCGGACACCAAAGCTTCAACCAGGAAAATTGAAACAGCGATCGAAGCAGACAAGATGGACAGCCGCCTGGCGCATCTCATTGAGGCGAAGAACTCTATCTTAGCAAGATGGAAGGGACAGAGGCTCAATCGAGGACTCAGAAAGAAAATAGCGGAGATTAACCGCAACATCGAGGAACACTGCCGCATTCTCAACCGCCAGCAATGGAATGAGTTGTGTAATTCAATGGACGGGCAACTACACAATAGCAAAGCGTGGCACCTGCTCAAGTACCTCCTGGACGAAACGAAGACCAAGTCACACCAGAGGGACTGCCTTGCCCATCTGTTACATAAGGAGATCGAAAAACATGGTAAAGATTCAGTGGCTGCCAGATTACGGGCGAAGAACTTACCACACACTTCATCTGTGCCGCACTGCCCGTACGAGGGGGACGCGAACGAAGAACTAGATAAGGACTTCAGCGTAGAAGAGATCAGGACGGCGCTGCACAGTCTTAACAGCAGATCGGCGCCGGGTCTAGATAAGGTGTTGAATCGTGCTCTAAAAAATCTTGACGAACAATCCGTGCAGCGGTTGACGGAATACATGAACGACTGCTGGCAGCGGGGTTGCTTGCCAGAACAGTGGAAAACTGCGAGAATTCTCCTTATCTCAAAACCCGGTAAAGCGCCGAGCCTCGACAATCTTCGCCCCATATCGCTGACGTCGTATGTAGGCAAGGCTAAGGAGCACGCTCTACTTAACCGCTGGCAAGTCTATCTAGAGCAAAAAGGGGCATATCCATCATCGATCATCGCATTCTGCCCGCAGTTATCCACACAAGATGCAATGCTACAGTTGGAACATCACGTACTTGATGGCGACACGAAAGGAACCAGAGCAATTCTTGGCCTCGACCTCAAGAGCGTGTTTAATAAAATCGAGCACTCGGCGATACTGCACCAAATATCTCGACAAAACCTCGGTCTACGTGCGTATAACTACGTAAAAGATTTCTTGACGGACAGGCAAACCGTTCTGGTGGCAGGAGATCTCCAACTAGAAGAGCAAATGTTGGGAAGCACTGGCACACCACAAGGATCCGTAATCTCGCCCATACTTTTTAACCTAGTCATGATTGGGCTCGCTGAAAAACTGCAAGCAATTGAAAACGTCCGCCACTCAATCTACACCGACGACATTACTATCTGGGTGCACCGAGGCAGCGATGGCCACATCGAAACGGTGTTACAACTAGCAATCGACACAGTAGAGAAATATCTCGATGGAACAGGACTACGATGCTCACCGAAAAAGTCCGAACTCCTGCTCTACCGCCCCACACACAGGGGTAGGCCACTCGGGCCTAAAGGAATGGCAGCGAGGACCAGACGAGAATACGAAGAGATCAGGCTACGTACTAGTAACGGAGCAACGATCCCGATAGTAAAAAGAATAAGGGTCCTCGGCATGATAATCGAGGCGAATGGAGGTAACGAAGAAATGATCACTAAACTAAAGCACAAGACTACAAACGCCATGAGAGTTCTCAAGAGGGTCACTAGCAGAAGAAGTGGAATGAGAGAGGATAGTCTCATACGGCTTATACACTCTTTTGTCATGTGTCATATTGCGTACATTGCGGCATTTCACAACTGGTACAACGCAAAAGAAGCCAAGACCAACGCCCTTATCCGCAGAGTGTACAAGGTGGCACTGGGTCTACCCGAGTCCACCAGCACGCACCTGCTGCTTAAACTTGGACTTCACAACACGTTAAGCGACATAGCCGAGGCACAGCGCACTTCACAACTGGAAAGACTATCGGGCACGACAGCGGGACGCAAGATCATGGAAAGTCTCGGCATCCGCTACTACACCGAACAAAGCAAGAAAGTCGCTGTGTCAGACGCGATCCGACAAACGATAAGGTTTGAGCCAATTCCACGCAACGCTCACTCGGAACACCACCCGGGCAGAAGAGTGGCCAGGGCAAGAGCTCTCTTGCGCACTTACGCCGACGAAATGGGAACGCGGTTCGTTGACGCCGCTCAATACGCAGACCGCTCGCAATTTGCAATCATGGTCGTCGATTGGAAAGGCGAAACGAGAATATCGGCAGGTATTCGATGTGACCACACACAAGAAGCGGAGGAAGTAGCTGTGGCACTCGCGCTCACGGATCCGTCATGCACTACTGTCCTCTGTGATTTGAGACAAGCAGTAAGAAACTTTGCCAAAGGATGGATCTTGCAACGAGTGGCCAAAGTCCTGCACAATAGAACATTTTATCAAGAGACAGAGCTTCAAGCCAAACTCCTGTGGTTCCCGGCTCACATGAAAGAGGTATCGGAGACACACAGCAACCTAAACGAGACGGCACACGCCAAGGCGCGCGAGCTTGTGAATCGCACCAGCGACTGTTCTCTATGGGGAAACACCAAAGACCGTTTGACAACTTATAATGAAATTACCAAGGCTTTCCACCTGGCCCGCCGAACCTTTCCTCCACCCAGCCAGAAGCTGAACAGGATGCAGGCGGTGTCTTTACGACAGGTGCAGACGCACACGTACCCCAACCCATCGCTGTTTAACAGACTATACCCCAATATATATCAGACGAATATGTGCAAGATATGCCATTGTGAGATTGCCACATTAAATCACATGCTCTGGGACTGCGCTAGAAATCCGCGAGGTGCTAAATCCGGAACCTTTCTGCCGCGGTTGGTCGCTGCCCTGTGCAGCCCCAGCCTCGGTGACCAACTCTGGGCCGTCCAGCAGGCCCGCGAGACGGCGGTCAGGCAAGGTCTTGACGTCCCCACACGGGAGACCTAAGGTCCAGTCGGCGAAAGCTCTGCCGGACTTCCAATAATGCTCTTACCAACCCCAATAACATGGCAACGAAAAGCACAAGATCGGGTTGATTGGCAGATCATGGGAGATGCCTTTGCCCTGCAGTGGGCGTAGTCAGGCTGACGATGATGAACACTTGGAATATGTACATGCCTAAGGCATAATCCCATAAACACAAAAAGAATGAACCGCTGAGTATAAATACATAGGGCGAAATTACTTATCAATGGGGTGACACACTGCTGAGAATGTGCCATGGTCCCAGGTAATTATAAGCTGTATGGGGTGCGATAACAAAATTTTATACTTGGCCCAGATGTGGCAAGATGTTCTGGGCAAGCAAATTTATTTGAATTGAGTGTTTAATACAAGAGAGTTGCTGATTGTGCAGCAGATACTCACATTCCAGAGCAAGCCTAGACAAGGCATCCTGAACACAGTCTACTTCCAGAGTGTTGGGGTCTCTCAACCATCGCACGTACTCTGCGAAGTCATTACAGATTTCCTCTTGCCATGTCGCCAGCTCAGCTATGTTCTTCATCTCAAGCAGCACTGGTGCAAGTGCCATGCGTAGCCGGTGCCACTCTTGGCCATGCCTAGAAAGGTTGTAGAGGAACAAACAAATTATCATTGTGCAATTTTGCTCAACTGCAGCACACAAGTGATGCCGTCAACATCTCAAGCAGCACCGGTGCAAGTGCCATGCGTAGCCGGTGCCACTCTTGGCCATGCCTAGTAAGGTTGTAGAGGAACAACCAAATTAACATTCTGCGATTTTGCTCAATTGCAGCACACAAGTGATGCCGTCAGACTACACCTAGGAAGCTGCTTAAATGAGTCCCACCATAATAGTGAGCCTATCTTGGGGCACTGCATAATTTTTTTAAGTGCTGTTTTTTCTTCATGATTGCGAAGCCCAAGTTCCATCTCGGATGTTCGGGCACACCACAAAATGCCTTTCTCGGCGACGTGAGGTGACCCTCACAAGCTTCCGCTGTTCCCTGGTTGAATTATTATCTTCAGAAAACTAGCTTCGCATTAGCTAAACTATGTTCAGTTTGCAATGAACCGGAAACAATAGATCACTTCATTTTCTCATGGCATCGTTCTGCACCACTCCACAAAATGTTTCGTAAAAGGCCGGTTGGCATGCTGGGAGTAGCATTGAAATACACAAACTTCTTATCATTTGGAGCCGGTCAGTTCGGTACGGGCTGCAGTGCTGTTCTGTCCGCATTACATAAATTCATCCAAGCAACCGGGAGGATACGTTGTTAGTGGTGCCACCTCATGGATACAATTCTCTTTCCCTCTTCTTTTTTCTATCTTTTATCACCGACTTCTCAAATCCTCTTGCTTTTTCCACTTCTTTTTATGTACGTTATGTCTCTTACTCTTCTGATTTCTCGCCCCCTCTCTCTCTTTAAGTAGCATTGTATTTAATTTTCCTTATAAAATACAATGTGACCAATCCCCGTAGGTATTAGTCAAAATCTTTTAGGTGACAAAACAAAGCACAAACATAGAATTCTTGGTCTATGGCTCTGGTGTATATTACGCAACATTATTTCTGGTGTTCAAATCCACTGGTGATCCCCCTCCCGAAACTACTACTTTGGATGGCATCACTGGAGCAGCTGCGCAAGAACCGAGGTGTTGTCAGGACCAGCTTCACATGAACTATCATGCTCCTGATGAACGAACTGCAGGCCATCGATCCCAATGCCTGTCAGGTCGACTCTCACATTACCGACCTCACCAAGAAGAACATGGAGCTCGTCGACCTCAACAAAGAGATCCTCGATGCAACTGATGATGACGCTTATGAGGAAGAGCTTGAGGCCGCAGAATAGTAAAACAGAAAGGCCTCTTACACCGCGTCCCAAGCACGGTTCTTCCTCCGAGAGGCAGCAAACAAGGCGACGGTAGCAAGTTCTGCATGGTCGGAGGCTACAGAATGCCAACGCCGGTGCTCCATCACCTCAGCACAGAACGAGGTTAGCGACTCGTCACCTCGAGTAGCCTATATGACACCCAGTCAAGGAACCATGCAAAGACATGACACAGTGGTCCTGCCGAAGCGAGATTCCAACATTTTCGGCGCACTTCAAGATTGGCAGTCCTTCTGAGACCATTTCACTGCCATGATTTACCTGAACGAAGACCTTTTACAGATCGAAAAGTTTAAGTACCTGCAGTTATATTTGAGTGGTGAAGCCAAGAGAGCAATCGAAGGCATCCGACTAGCAGAAGGCAATTACAGTATCGCGATTAAGACCTTGACGGAGTGATCTGGTCGATGCGACTTGCTCATCAATGAGCACATTGACCACCTGCTCCCCTCAGCACAGTCAAGTTTTCGACAAGGTGCAGTTTCGAGTCTCTGCATTGACCAGCTTGGGCGTCTCACCTAACCAGCATGACATCCTCAACCGCGTGTTAATGAAGTTTCTGCTTGACGACCTCACGATAGTCTCCCGCCAGAAGGTGAAATAAGCGCCGCAGGATACATCAGAAAGAATGTCGCGTAAAGACCCAAGCCCTAGACCAAAAAATTATTCCACCCAACCTCCTCTCATTGTCTCCTTCCTCTTGTTGCTACCTGTTCGCACTAACGTGTTGTCACATGTTCGAGTGGGCAATGTATTCACGGTTACCCGAATGATCCCCCGAAGCTTTGCCCACTCATAATCATTCACTTCATGGATGTGCTGTGTTTTCTATCCTAACTTGGCCACAAAACGAAACCGCTAAATTATAGAATATAAGGCAAAAATGTTGAAATGTGAACAAATGGAACACATTCTACATACAATGTGTGCCAATTTGACTCTCATACGGACGGCTTCCGCTGTGCATGCACAGGGGCTTTGTTGAAGCCAAGCTGGTGTCTGTAGGTATACACTCATGGCATTCCATCAAACAAACGTTTGAGTGAGAGCCGGCACTCATGTTGCAATTATGTTTGGCCTTTGTCCTCATCTGTTTAGCATTTTAATAATGAAATACCACCCACCCACCCATGTTTCTCTTCCCACTCAGCACGAAAATTCTTGTTGCCGACATCCTCTGCACACCATCAGTTGCAGACACATTGTTGACTAATGGCCAGTAAACAAACATGTGTAATCACTTGCTATCAGACACATCAAAGACATATTGGACTTGAAAGCATCGCATTAAATGTGAAAGGTCACAAGAAAATTGGCAGGAACCTCAATGAAGATCTAGTTATTCATCCTGCTACAAGCTGGTGTAAGTACATATGTTGACATATCTGCTGTGAATACAATAAATAAAGCTTTCATTAATACTCACAAAGGCTAAAATACAAAATATGCTTCTTGCTACTGACTAATCTGCATAGAACAATTCAATTTCCTTGGTGGTTGGGACAAACAGTTGGTCTATACTCAAGAAAACCAGCATCTTTTAGTCTGAATTAAAGAGCCAACTCACGCATTAGAAAGTCCAACACTGTTGTACTTTTCAGGGTGATCGTTGCGGTACTTGCAGACAAACTCATTTGGCGGTCGATCTGGCCAGCGCCCCTGGTTTTGAAATATGACCTGGAAGTCGTCTGGGTTGAAAGAGTGAACCACCGGCTTTTGCCACTGGTACTCTTCTTTCATGAGGTCACCATACCGATAGTACTTATCAGTGCTGGCTTCATGAAGTTGGTAGAGATTGTATCGCCCTGCACCATGATTTTGATAAAATTTGTTTTTTTCTTTTACTGTGGCACCCATCACGTGCAATAGATAATATTAATAAACCATGCACACATATCAGGATTAGTGGCACCTTAATATGCAAAGGAAATCTGATAGAAGAAACAGGGCATTCATGCAGAGAATCTGCAGCTACTCCGTACTGCCATAATATGATTGGCCTAGTCAAGAAAAAAAGATTGAACGTTGAAGCCGAGTGATTTATGACAATATTCTACCTTGCTGGGCAAACCATTTAAAGAGAACGCTAATAGGAAACAATCAATGTCCTTTCAAACATTTCTTTTTGTTAGTGAAGGTGAGAGAATTAGTTTTTAATTTTCATCGGTGTAGCATTTCTTTCTCAAGTCTCATCTGCTGCCAAAATCCATTGCAGTGCAATCAACTGATACATTATCACCACTGCTTTTTCGCTACCTGTTTTCTCACTCTGTAGGACAGAGGCCAGTGGCTGCACAGCCTCATTACATCAGCAGTGATGGCACCCCCTTTTTTTGGAAATAAACCTCCCTGTTTTTGTGTTTTCTATCCACTCCTGTAATAACCAATCAACCAGGGGCGTAGCCAGGGAGTGGCATGCTGGGCACGTGCCCCCCGCCCCCTCCCCCGAAATTTTTTTTAGCCATAGCATAGAGAGCAAGAAATGGCCACTTTAAGGGGGCGCCCCTCCCAAAATCAAGGTGGTGACCCCTACCCCCAGAAAAAAAATTTCTGGCTACATGCCTGCAATCAACAGCTGAGATTATGAAATTATTTATTAGCCTGACAGCATACGAAGCCATCTATTGCCTTCTAATCCAACCATCACAAAACATGTGCCATGTCAGCGTAGCTTCGAACATGTAAAAGGACTCGTCATATCATCACAGCATGTTGTGGTTGTCTCACAGTATCCCTGGCATGCGCTGTGGCTTTAATGTAGAAAGCTTGGTTCATTCAGCACTCGGACAAGAAGGGAGAGTGTGTGTCCCTGCACTGTTGCGCAGCCCAACATCACAGCTGCCATAGTACAGACGGCCCGCAAGCACACTGGGAATGTCACTACCATTTGCACGATTTGCCATGTGCTGAATCTCATTACTTACGTCCAAAGGTTCGCTCCTACATGCTGAAGAGAGCATTTAAAAGGTGCTGAAATTAAATGTTTGGGGACAAAGATTCAGCCCCATTTGACAGCCATTTCTCACAGTAAATATTTTTGGGGGACTGGTGAATGGTGATTTATAGAGTAGTTGAAATACTTTTTTGCTTTAACGTCCCTGCTAGTACTTATTGCTTGCAAGAGCATAAAAACCAAGTACAGAGAGATTGTGAAGGCTTTGCAGCATAGCTCTGCACCCTCTCCAACAAAAGTAAATGATATAAAAACTAGGACAGAGCTTGAAAAGCTCACTAGCAATGTTAGGGGATGTTTAAGGGTTTCAACCACACCTGAAAATTTTTGTTTTATTTATGTCATCATCATTTCCAGCCTGTCTATATCCACTGCAGGATCTCCCGGTGATCTCCAATTTGCCCCATCTTGTGCGAACTTCTTCAATTCGTCGCTACCTTACTCCACTATATTTCCCATCCCTTCATTCTGTTGCCCTTACTCTCTGCCTCATGTAAAGAGCCCAGTTTTTTCGCTTGGTGTCAACCATAGAGTCTCCTAAATGAACAAGAGGGGGCTGCAATTGTTCAGCGACCATGGGGATTATGGGTAATACATGGATTTGCCTTCATGCTTGCCGGCTTCAAACACAGTTGCAGATTTGTTTATTGCAGAGCTTCGGTATTGTTTCGAATAAAAGAACAAACCGTTTTGAACTGACTAAATTCAAGTTGGTGAGCAGGTGGTAGGCCACCTTCAGAAGTCGAATTTTTTTCGTGAGATCGATTTTTTTTTTTTTTGCACACCTGAACATTTAGAAATACATGGTTACAAAAATTATCCTCCTATCATCACTAATTTGTGAGTTACAGCTAGATTTCTATATCCCATGCTCGTATACCGAAACGAAAACCACAATGTGTTGGTTACAAAAGTAAGTGTTTTTCGTCTATATTAACAATATTTAAAATACTTCACGAGTTTTTATTTTTTTATTTACATTTCACCTACATCGCCATGAGGCATTACATAGGGGAGATACACATAATAATTTGACTACATAGTTTTCAATTGAAACAATAAATTCAACAAATAAACAGCACTCAAAATATTAGTTTTACATTGACAGTTACATAAAAAATGCCAATATATACAAGTTTGTGCTTATAATAGTTTTTAAATCATTAAAAACGGCCACAAGGGGGATGCAAGATGCTTGAAGAATGTTTGTTGTTTAGATTGGCCGGGTTACGTCAGGCATCGTTCTGCATTTTTTCCATGTGTCAACACTGAACCTGTGTGTTCTTAGGCCACCTGGACCATTATCAGATCAGCATGGCTAAGTGCAGAACTTGGAAGACAAGGAAGCGCAAGTTTGGTGGAAATCGCTACACAATGACGAGGCTGCCTCCTGACACGGGCGCAGGTGTTTCGGCGACCGCGAGCAAGCTTGCGGACATTTTGAAAACGTACAAGACTCAGCTGGAGAATTGTTTGCTCGAAGGGAAGAAGCTTGTGTGACATTCTTTCTTTGGTTTTTCCATCACTGACATGCCCTGGATGCATGAACCCAACGGTGAAGCTCGAAGAACACTCTCACCAAGGGATGCTCAACCTGTGCGGTCATGTGCTGACTGTGGGCTCGAGCATCCATTTGATATGTCTCAAAAGATGGGACGTGCTAATGAAAATAATGTTCATCTCGTTTACGCAATGCGCCAGTTATAAAAAGGGCACGTAGGTGCGGAAACGTTTGCCAAAGTCATGAACATGATCGCTTCTCCACGTCACTCCGCCTACGACAAATTATCGTCTCGGCTTTCTGCAGCAGCAGGAGAAGTGTCGTCAAAATCTATGGCCGATGCTGCTGTATATCTTTGTCGTGTTGTGCGCAGTGCCGAGTGTGGTGTTTTAGGTGATTGCAGATGGCACAAGCGAGGCCATTCATCTTTGAACGGATGTGTGTCTGTGATTTCTGATGACACGGGAAAAATCATTGATGTTGAAGCCCTTTGTAGCTCTTGCAAGTCTAGTAAAACTAGAAGGAAGTTGAGGCCAGAAAGTGCTTCTAATAAGGAATAGAAGGCAAACCACACTTCCTGTCAAGCAAACCATAAAGGAAGTGCTTGCAGTAGGGAGACGGTTGGTCTGTACTGAATATTTGAGAGGTCGCAGCCAAAAAGAGGCTTGAAGTACCTGAAATTATACGGTGATGGTGATTCCAAGAGCTATGCCGCTGTGAAAGACATGTATGGAAAGGACAGTGTCCAGAAACTGGAATGCACTGGGCATGTCCAGAAACGTGTTGGCTGCTGCCTCAGAAAACTGAAGAAAGGAGTGCATGGTCTCGGGGATAAGGGAAAGCTCACTGATGCCCTCATTGACCGCCTGCAAAACTACTATGGCATTGCCATAAGGGCTAATCTTGACAACCTTTCTGAAATGAACCAGTTTTTTTCATTGCAGCTCTACCAACAAGCATCCGAGACTTGGTCGTGCCCTCTTCGACCGAACAGCTTGTGTAAGTACAGAAGGGTCAAAGCACTCGGCCAAGGAAAGTATGTGCACAAAGGAGGACTTTCGAATGATGTGCTCAACAAAGTTAAAACTGTGTACAGGGATTTGTACTGATACGGCAGCGGGTTCTCAAAGAGGTCTACGTGAGCTTGCCTACAGTAATGTTTGCTCGCACGATACTGTGGCACACTTTAATAATGGCAGTGTTAGCACCCACACATACTGAGGCAAGCTGGCATAGAACCAGGATACTACACGATGAAAGCATGCATCGCCAGAGATCACAAGCGCATGCAGAATGCCAAACGCAAGTCAGCGGATGGGACAAAACAGGCCAGAAAGAAAGAGCAGCTACATGAAGAAAAGGTGACCATAATGCTATTCAAGAAGGACGCACCTATGAATCTGGTGCATTTTAGGACTTTGTGCAAGGTTTTTGACACCTTGTGCCCGCTCTGAAATATTTGTTAATGTTTTTCTCAAAATAAGAGTTTGCTCCGAATTATGTGACTCCAACTTTCATAACTTTTGTCTTAGGGCATGCTTTGAACTGAAATTTTGACAATGTATCAGCCCTTTATATATCTCTGCAGTGAACTAGGATAAAAAAAATTGATTGGTTAGCTTTGAATTCACAGCTGATTTTGAAAACAAAGTCAGTTTAAATTGGCCCTTTTTCTCCATTTTTTTGGAATTTTTTTAACATAACTTCCTTGATATTTACTGTATATTATTTATCCTAGTTCACTGAATAGCTCCAACCATTGGTTACCGAAATACCAAAGCTTTACTGAATTCAGGCAGCCGTTAGTCACTTATCACGGCTGGTGTAACTATCACTTTTCATTAAATTTTTTGCACCTTAAATGACTAGGCAAGGTAAAGGAATGAGACAGGCTTGTTCCGAAAAAGCAGTTATTTTATTCCTGGCTCTTTCGGTTAAAATGTGTTTTCTGGGATGGCCTACCACCTTAAGGTGGTGAAGCATAACTGATGAATTATTGCTGATTATTGTTTCGTGAAAAAGCAGCATCAAGCCACGTGAAGCCAAATGGAGCGTAAGGTACGAACATCAGGCAAATTCACGTCATCATCCTCAGCCTGACTACGTTCACTGCAAGACAAAGGCCTCTCCCATGTTCCGCCAGTTAACCCGGTCCTGTGCTTGCTGCTGCCAATTTATGCCCGCAAACTTCTTAATCTCATCTGCCCACCTAACTTTCTGTCTCCCTCTAACCCACTTGCCTTCTCTGGGAATCCAGTCAGTTACCCTTAACGACCAGCAGTTATCCTGTCTACGCGCTACATGCAAGGCCCATATCCATTTCTTCTTCTTGATTTCAGCTATGATATCCTTAACCCCCGTTTGTTCCCTGATCCACTCTGCTCTCTTCTTGTCTCTTAAGGTTACACCTACCATTTTTCTTTCCATTGCTCGCTGCATCGTCCTCAATTTAAGCTGAGCCCTCTTTGTAAGTCCCTAGGTTTCTGTTCCGTAGCTAAGTACCGGCAAGATACAGCTGTTATATACTTTCCTCTTGAGGGATAGTGCCAATCTACCAGTCATAATTTGAGAGTGCTTGCCAAATGTTCTCCACCCCATTCTTATTCTTCTAGTTACTTCAATCTTGTGGTTCGGCTCCACAGTTATTACCTGCCCTAAGTAGACATATTCTTTTACAACTTGAAGTGCACTATTACCTATCACGAAGCGCAAATTCATGTACTACCTATCATTCCCATGCTCGCTAAACTCCATGCACTGCAGCTTCCACAGACATTAGTGCCAGAGTTCCCTCTATAGTATTCATAGGAAACTCTATGGTGTCAACTAAGATACTGCTAACCCTGCTGTGCCTACATTAACACTGTACATTGCAGTGAATGTAGTGTCGTCCTCAGCTTTTTTTTATAGCTGCTTTGTTGTCCTTCAAGTCTCAGCCAAATATTTTGGAACTGTCAGTGAGCATCGTTTTTATACTGTTTGCTTTAATGACAGTGGCAGATTTTCCCAAATTTTATGGGAATGCATGCTAAATGTGCTCCAGCCCATTCTTAATCTGCGGTGACTTTTGCTGTTAAATTTTTTTCATTAGACTCTCCTGTTGGCACTTGTCCTACATATATGTATTCTTGTATACACTCATAGCATATATGGTTTCCAATTGTCAGCTATTTCGCTTTTCCAGGCTATTTGGCATTATCTTCGCCGTTATGTGTATCTTTAGGCCTCCTTTAACACTTTTCTTTTTTTTATTTTTGGTACCGTAAAGTACCACATCAACTGAAAACCATAGGTTGCTGAAATGTTATCTGTTAATTTTGATTCCAGCTTCTTTCATTAAAATAAGAATGCATCTTTAGAAGAAGTTTAAATACTTCTGCATTGAACAACTGGGCACATAGCATCTCCCTGTGTGACTCTTTCCTTTAAGTGTAAAATATGTACTTTACATAACTTTTTTTTTTCGTGGAGAAGTAAGACAGCTGTGGAGTCCTTGTAAATGTCGGTTAAGGACTACTGGTGTAATTTTTAGGTACTACTTGTTGGCTTTTGGCTGGTGCTTTTAACATTTCTACATAGTCGAATGCTTCTAAACAAAGGGGTTAGTTGTGTTGAGCAGTTTTCTACACCTGATTAATCTCTCCATTGTAAGGTGGCCTTTTTAGAAACCAGCTGGTTGTGTTTCATGTCATCCTGTTAGAAATTACGTTTGTAAATCCGAAAGTAAGACGATGGGCTTGTCAACACACGTATCCGCGCACGACATAAACTAGCGCAAAGGGAGAGCACGTCGAAGGAGACTAAAACGGGCATAACCTACCCCATCTCGAGTACTGCCAGCTCGTTCCGATGAAAGGCAGCGACGGCTTGGGGCCCGGGATGCGGTGGAAGGCGGCCGCCGCCGCTCCCAGCGACACGGCCTCCGAGCCGACGCTCCGGGCTAGCGCCCGCGCGGCTCGCTTCATCTCCGTGGTGCCATGCGCCACAAAGCGCACACCCGTACTGGGTTTTGTTTCTCGCGCCCAACCAACACTACTACGGTGACATGGAAGCCGAGAAGGCGGCGACGAGCAGCGCACTTCCTAGTAAACACTGCGCGGCCGCTTCTCCTGGCGGCGGCCGTTGTTCGCGGGCTGCTTTGTGTTCCTTTATCGGGGGAGCCGTATCGTGCGCTTTTCATTCTCGCGTCATCGGCGGCCGGTGTACTGCCCGCCACTCGACTGCCCCAAGGCCAAAGGTCACTGAACAGTCGCCGTTGTCGTACCTGCGCGCACTAAGTTCGTGCCTCGCGCGTAGTGGGTAGCCACACCACATCGCTTGCGAATGTGCTGCGGCTCGAGTGATCTGCTGCGGCGCGAAAATATTGCGCCGCTTTTGCGCAGCGGCAGGCACATGCTGCACGGTGTTCTGTCAGAGAACACCTGTTCTGTTTTAACGCAACCGCCACAGGGAACACTATACCACAGCGGTTGGTCAACAAACGCAGGCAGTATCAACTGCGCCGTAGAATATGGTATCACATTCTTTCGAAGCGTGCCATTTGAAGGAATATACGTGCGCGCAAAGTACAGAAATGTTCTTCAAATGAGAAAAAACATAAGAAGAACGACAGGACGCTAAAACATTTAGAGAACACCGACCACTTTAAATATTTACACATTTAATTCCGCCAAGAAGCGATTGTCGGCTGTGTAATGCACAATGAATCGAGTAAAACATTGTAATACATTTCTGACACTGCACTGAAATGGCGCTCTTTGGCCATCAATTGGCCCTTGCGCCATAAAGCACTACACATCATCATCATATTTCTGACATTTTTGTATATCAAGAAACTAATTTATTCTGTGTTCCATTTGCTAACAACATAAAGTATATATGGCCGCCGCGGTGCAGCGCTCATTTTGACAAAAATCCCCGTGTGCATGTTTCATGTCAATGTCCATGCTATTAAAACATTCCAATTTCATTTGTAAGATCTGGCGCTAGGTTACAAATGAGACGAGCGGTAAACTTGTTGGCGCTCTTGCAGTCTGCTCAGAGAACAGGCACTGTATGCAGCCTATTTGCCCTCAACTTAGAGGCCCTCAAGGTTACCTTCAAAGCTTGGGTCCTTATCTGCAGAAATATCTTTTCGGCCATGGAGAAACAATAGTTTGGTGGTACACCTTATCGGAGGTTCGCTTATCTCACATGACACAATTTATAGTGTCACCAGAACAGGCGCTATACGATACGGTATTGCGAAGTTTTACCTTGGATCCTCCTATGCCAATGGAAAAATTACATTCTTAAGCGCGGAGAATGTAGGGGCCCTGGATGTCCTATGCTGTGATTTAATGTCGCTTGGCGTCAAGGTGTAAGTTCGGGCTTTTTTAGACTATGACGACACAGACGTGCGCAAACTTCCAACTGAATTTATTATCAAAACGATCGAGGCATATATAAGTACGGCAACGAAGGAGGTTAAACTCCTTGAACACCTTGAGCAACGAAGGAGGTTAAACACCTATGTCACAGATGATACGCACTGTCGCACTGCGGCCAGTGGTAGTGTATAGGTGTTCTGTGCTGCGGCGCACCTGAGTAACCACCTTGGTCCATTTTCCTTCCTCCGTGACCTTGGTCTGTGTCGTCCGTATACATAGATAGAAATAAGGAACCAATTGTGTACAGGATAGATAACATTAATTCTGGTCCAGAAGAATCTTCTTCCCATTTGATAGGGGCAAAGAACACCTATAACCTCCTTGAGAACACCTACATGCTCCCACGTTGAGAAAGGTCCAGCCTTACCGCCACATCGTGGACCTTCTGGACAGCCCGGAGTTAGTCAAACTAAAGCCCCTCCACGCGTTTTTTGCTAGCGGCAGTAGACGCGATGGAGGAGCTTTACGTCAAACCAGTTGTGGCTCTTGAGAAAGGAATGAAAGTCTTCCTCCATGGTCCGTGTGGGGCTGCTAAGAGGGGCACACCAAGAGCATGCATGTGCTGTGCCTAAAATCACTAATTACCCCACAGCCGGTACACAGAGGTATAATGCTTAGAATATACTTATATTCTAGGCACTATAATAGAGCAAAGACCTCCGTGTACTTGCTGAACGGAGAGTTTTGGATATGACTTCGTCTGCGTCCTGGCTAGTACACTGTAGCCTGGGCCTTGCGTAATTTCCATGTGGCAAGGGGAAAGCCCGGCCAGCGACACATCTGGTAGCTAGCGATCTCATTGAAAGTAGAAAATGTATCTGAAGTAGGGTGTGTTGGCGTCCAAAAAGGCTGGTCCAAGACCGTCACCGGTGTTACCCGGCACACCGCGGCGTCCCAGTGCCCAACTCAGCCGGCAAATTCATAGAGTTTCCTAGAACTAGCCCACTTCGACGCCCTCGTGCACCTGGAACAATGCAATGACGTGATGAGCACCTTACCCTCAAATGCCCTAGCAACCTCCTCACAGACAGCCCCAGTCAAAAAAAAAAGCTCTAAGGGCCTTCAGTCCGTATCTGTCTGTCCGACTGAAGGAGCGCCAGCGCAATGGCCAGCTGCTCTGCCTTGGAGGCCCAGATACCCCATTTGACTATCCACAACGTTTGCAACAAAGTGCCTGGAGTCACCCGTACTGAGCAGCGTCTACAACACAAGAATCAGCCTCGTGCGCATATGTGCGTAACGCAGGAGCGCGAGCTATAGTCCTACCAGTAATGAAAATTAGATGCATGTTCCTCGGAATGTGGCAGACCGTCATAGCCTGCCGTACATTATCAGAAAGCTGAACGCTAATATCTTTCAAAGTCGTCAGATTGATCCCAATCTTAATAAGCAAGGAGATACCCCTTACCGCCACCATAGAGAGTCGGGAAATCTGTGCGGTCTGCTGAGCTTATCACTTCTACGTGTTGTTGGCGCCGAGGCTTGCTATGTTCTCCGTGCTTGTGCGCATAGGGAGCCCTATGACTCTCCAAATAGTTTCCCTGATAAGCGTGCGTGTTCAGCATTATTGTTAACTTCGTGCTTTTGCATTCTGTGCATGGAAACAACATAATTCACAGGGCCCTCGAAACTCTTGCGATAAGTCTGATTACTCCTGCACAGCATGTTTATCATATAGTGCACCCGTGCTACCATTAGCTTGATACTATAGCGCCCAGAGGAATTAGCGAACCCTGGGTATCTCCCACCCGATCGATGACGGCGTTCGTACCCTAATATCTATCTCCTCGAAAAGCCTCCCCTCTAGTTCCCAGACAACAGATCGACACCTTATGCTCATCCTCAAAAGGCACAAACGTCCTCGTCCGCTTGGCAGCGTCCTAAAAATGTTTCCAGAACATCGTTTACGGGATATTATCCTTAAAATGTTCTCATGCGGACGTGTTTAGGACAGCAACCCGCTTGGCTGTTTATGAATGGAAATTACAGGATTTGTGCAATGAACACCATTTGACTGCAGATTTAATATAAAAATACATCTAGGGATATCGCAAAAGCATGATTGCCTACGCACACGTTTTGCCTCATTTCGAATGAATACACATGACTTTGGTATGCAATGATTGGTTATTCAGACTGTTTAAAACGCACTAGTTCGGGGAACAATAACCCTCGCGAAGTTAAAACTCGTCGACATATATTTAAATTTCTCTCATTTCTGACCGCTGGAAACACTACCACTGGGGGTTCGGACACACACACACACACACACACACACACACACACACACACACACACACACACACACACACACACACACACACACACACACACACACACACACACACACACACACACACACACACACACAAAAGTGGACCTCTAGTGGTTGTAGCCATAGAAAACTCTATGGCTGTAGCAGTCTACACACGTGTCTTCCGCTTCATTTCTGCTTCTGCGCTTCAGTGGCGGCATGCGGAGAGGCTGCACGTGGAAAGGCGCACCCAGTCATGAACATTACCGCACCGGAGGGTAGCCCCTATGTTGGGTCTCCCTGGCTTGTACGCCGGGAGGCAGGCCGCGTCAAACTGGTAGGTGTTCTGTGGCCGCGTCTGTCGCCGAGCGGCGGCCCCCTGCCAGGGTATGGCCCTTTGCCCGAAACAAAAGCTCCCCCTCACACAACCCTGAGGGGGGGGGGGGGGGAATGTCGGGACAGTCGTATGGTTGATGAGCTTTGTGAGACTCTGAGACAAGTTAAAGTGCCGGCGCCGCGTTTCCTTCCTATCTGACAACGGCATGAACATTGGTGAGTTTCATCTAGTTTCTAGAGAGCGATGCAGTAGTCGTTTTGTGTATCCGCGATGGCAGAAAGCAACTATTCCGCGGCGAATGAAAATGCCGCGTCGATGCGTGTGTTCAGCCGTGAGTGCAAACAATGACCTCGCAGTCTCAGCCGGCGTGTATACTCTCAAAGTCCGACAAAGTCCACAAAAATGTAATGTTCTCTGCTCGACACAGCATATACTGGTTGCGTCCTATTTCAAGGTTAAGCAACTCGGCACAATGAACAGATAGCTAGCATGAACGGCGGTGACGCTATGCACTCTGGGTAGGCAGCCTTTTTTTTTCTTTTTTTTTTTTGGTCAGAGGCGGCCGGGTAGTGCAGCAGCACAGTCGTGTTTCCAAGCGTTGGCATAGCTTGCAAGCGTGATCGAGTGCGAGCGCGATGTCAGTCTCACCGGAAGACTACACCGCAGCGCTACGCCGGAAAGACCTCGAGTGGTACGAAAAAGACACGAGAATTCGCTCCGAGTGGACCCATTCACGCTTCGTGTAGGCGACTGTGTAAGTGGAGTTGTGGGCACGCATCGACAGCTCCGATAATCATGAATTTCTCGTTCCGAGAACGAATTTGAAAACACGGGAGCAGGTCCAGAAAAACCCTCGAGGGTCACAACTTTTTGAAGAGTGGCCGAGTGTGGGAGCCGTGAGTGAAGAAAGTCGCCGCCGACACCGTGGTCGTCGTCACTCAAGTAAGACGTGTTTAAAAAATTGAGAACGCTCTTCTCGTGCACGTGCGCCGTACTCCACGTAGAATAACAACGCAGCG